ATATATATATATATATATATATATATATATATATATATATATATATATATAATATATATTATATATATATATATATATATATATATATATATATATATATATATATATATATAATATATATATATATATATATATATATATATATAATATATATTATATATATATATATATATATATAATATATATATATATATATATATATATATATATATATATATATATATATATATATATATATATATATATATATATATATATATATATATATATATATATATACATATTCTCTCTCGCTCCGTCTGATCGCGCCTCCCTCTCTCTCCAGAACTTCCTCCTTCTCCCCAACTTTCTGTCTCGCTTCCCGCTTCTCGCTTGCTCGCACCAGGTTATTTTTCATTACAATAAATCTGATGTAGCGTCGCGGAGGGTAGAAGGCGCCCCTTCCCGCCCCATGTGTTGCCTGGCGACAGCTGAGAGGGCGCATCGGGGGGCGAGGGAGACGCGGAGGACGTCGAAGGGGCGGCCCGGCTTCTTCGCCTCCGCCGCTCCTTCGCGCCTCCGCTCAGCCTCGTCCACTTCTCTGCCCTTCTTCCAGTTTTTACTCTTTCCTACTCTTCTTTCTCCTTTTTCTAAATGATCATCTTTTTTTTTTCCTTTCCCCCCCTCTGTCTCCTCTTCGTATACTTCTCCACCTTTCGTTCAATTTTACTTTCTCCTACTGTTCCTTTTCCTTTTTTAACTCTTCATCTTTCCTTTTACCCCTTTCACCTCTTCGTCTCCTCCTCCTCCTCTTACCTCTTCTCTTTCTCACCTCCTTTTTCTCTCTCATATCCTCCTACACCCTTCATTCTCTCTTCTCTCCCACCTCCATTTTCTCACTCCTCCCCTCCACCTCCAACACCCTCCCCATTGCCCCTCTCGCTCCTCCCTTGCCCTCCTCCTCACACCGCACCCCTCCCTCCTCTTCCGCCCCCCCTCCCTCCTCTCCCGCACCCCTTCCCTCCTCTCCCACACCCCCTCCTCCCTCCCGCACCCTCTCCCTCTCTCCCTCCCCTCCCTCCCCTCCGCAACCACCTCCCTCCCCCCTCCTCCCTCTTCCCTCCTCTCCCGCACCCTCCCTCCACCGCCGCAGCCCCAGCCTCCACCTCCAGCGCCGCCCTTCGACATCGCTGTGAACGTGTTTGCCGAGCGCCCCTTCAGGCATCGGGCCATTGTGCGCCATTATCATCGACATACGCCCTCCCATTATTCTCTCAACTTTATGAATTTTAGAGAGTTTTCAGAGTGTTTGACTCTTGCATTGATACCATCTATTTCCGGCGGGGCGAGAGAGCTTTCAAGGGGCTTATATATGAGACCTGTGCTTTTGTCTGCGGGGGTAAAGGAGGGATTATGCGTGGGGGAGGGAAGGGCGGAGAGAGGGGGAGGGGTTGGAGGAGTGAGGATGAGGGTGAGGGTGTTGAGGTGGGTGGGAGGAAGAGAAAAGGATGGGGGAAGGATGTGGAGGGAAAGGGAGGGAAGAAATGGGGTGGAGGAGGGAGGATGGGGATGAGGGAGGTGTGGGGCTGTGTGCAGGGGGGAGTGAGGGTCGAGGAGGGTAGGAGGTGGGAGGAAAAAGGAGAGGATAAGAGTGATGTGGGTGGAAGGAAGGGAGGGATAGAAGGACGGGGATGAAGGAATGAGAATGAGCGTAGAGGTGATGTTAGTGAGAAGAGGAGAGATGGGGAGATGAAAGTAGAGGGATTTTATGGAAGAATACAACCCTGTAGATGCTTTTTATGGCAATTGCTAGGGCAAAGAAGGGAAAATGTTGGGGTGAGAAAGGAAGGAAAAATGCCGGGGTGAAAGAGGGTCATGTTATTACTGTTACTTATGACCAGGGAGGCGAGGGGGCGATGGGGGGGGGGCAGAGTGTGGCTGCTGGCGAACGATCGGGGGGAAGTGGCACTCAGTGGCAGCAGAAGGTGGCAAAAGCTTTAGGAAGGGAACTTGAACAACATCGCAAAAGGAGAAACAAACAGACACCGATACAAACGTGACAAACCATGCAAAAGCTAACTAAATAAAGGAAAAAAAACAAAACAAAAAAAATCGAAAAAAAAAACTTGAGCGCACAGCCCCTGATCCGAAGACGAGAGCAAAAGCCAACACCGAATTGTGCCCGAAGTTCCTCCTCCTCCCTTCCGCCCTCAATTTTCCCTCGGCAGGCAGAGAGCGCAGGACCAAACGCTGACACAACTCCCCCATTACCGCCATCTTGTCTCCGTCGCGCCCCTCTCGTGAAGGGCGGCGTTTTTTTCCCTGCAGCGCCACCAAACACACTCGGGGAACGCTGACTCAAGATTTCACGGGCGGGAATGGGCGGCGCCGCTGACACATGAGGCGTTTTAGGGAAGGCGGGGAAGAAGGAAAGGATGAATGAGTGGGAAAAGGAGGGAAGAACGAGAAGGAGAGGGAGAGAAGGAAAGAAAGAGGGGGAAGGCGAGAGGGAGAAGGGACGGGAGAAGAGAGAAAAGGAGGCGAGGGAGGAGTGCGGGAAGGAATGAGGGATGGAGAGGGAGAGAGAGAATGGTAATGATGATGATGATGATGATGATGATGATAATGATAATGAAAATGATAATGATAATGATAATGATAATGATATGAGAGAGAGAGAGAAAGATAGAAGAAGAGAGAGAGAGAGAGAGAGAGAGAGAGAGAGAGAGAGAGGAGGAGAGAGAGAGAGAGAGAGAGAGAGAGAGAGAGAGAGACAAGATACAGCATGGAATCTATATATAGATATATATATATAATATATATATATATATATATATATATATATATATATAATATATATATTAGATTAGAGAGAGAGAGAGAGAAGAGAAGAGAGAGAGAGAGAGAGAGAGAGTAGAGAGAGAGAGAGAGAGAGAGGAGAGAGAGAGAGGAGAGAGAGAGAGAGAGAGAGAGAGAGAGAGAGAGAGAGAGAGAGAGAGAGAGAGAGAGAGAGAGAGAGAGAGAGAGAGAGAGAGAGAAGCGAGGAGAGAAAGGAAAAAGTAAGGAAAGTTTTGGGCAAGGAGAGCTTTTAGTTGCCGGATCGAGTGCTTTGTTTCAGGGCGCGACAAACAAGGGTGAAGAGCAGTAACCAAGGAAGGGACGTGATGCAGCTCTTGGCTCGGGGATCGTGTAGGGTACAGCGCTAAGCCATTTGATATTCTCACCTGATAAAGATAATTCAGGACGGTGTTATGCTGTCACTGTGATGTACTGCCTTGCAACAGATAATTCTCTAGGCATGCAACTTCAGAAAAGGAAACTACATCCTAAAAAGATTGTCCTTTTGACTATGGAATTGATACAAATTGTATTTCGGACACCACTCAACATGAGTAGCATTTTAACCAATAGGAACGCCGTGTTTACCCTCCATTTGCAAGTGGGACATTCCTATTGGTTGCCGCTGGTGTCGTCCATTAGTCAGCTTCCTGCCTGTCGAGGCTCCGCACGTCCCCGTCATGTTCGGCGCTGTTTCGAAAAATTAAAAAATGAAAAAATACGAGGAAAGGGAAATACAAAAAAGAATGTATTTCTTGTTCCTTCCAGCGTGAAAAATCGCTCCATACATGTCACTATCCCGACGACAATATCTGAATATATTTTTTTTCCGGCCGATAAAAATGGTTTTCACCTACGCACGAGATAGATTGCGATTAGTTCTTAAATCATGTTTCAGTTCTGATGGGAAGTATATAAAAGAAGAATCCTGAATAAGAAGAAGAGAGAGAGAGAGAGAGAGAGAGAGGAGAGAGAGAGAGGAAGAGAAGATGAGAGAAAGAAGAGAGAGAGAGCAGAGAGAGAGAGAGGAGAGAGAGAAGAAGAAGAGAGAAGAAAGAGAGATAGAGAGAGAGAGAGAGAAAGAGAGAGAGAGAGAGAGAGAAAAGTTTGAATACTCATACGATGATGATACGGAAATCAGCGGTCTCCGGATTATCTCGAAATTTATGTCGTTAAAACTCGCATGAAATTAACTAGAGTTTCACGACTTTCTCCGGAGCGTCTTCGAGGTGTGATGGCGTCATATGCGCGTCGTAAGAACGGCATCGGAAATAAAGTTAAGACAATGACAATACTCGCAAGACAGGGTTAAAGGCACATTAGCTCTATTTGCTTTACAATATATTTTTTTCTAATATGAAAAACAAAGCATCGCAATAAATTTCAGAAGATAGAAATATTCTAATAACCAATACGTTACAGCAAAACCGACGCCATAAATAAGCCCGCTGAACTGCTCCAATACATTTTTGCAATAACAGTTACACTTGAAGTAGCGTCTTGCCGTCGCTGGGAATTCCCCTCCACGGTACAGGCGCACAAGAATCAAAATACATCGGCCGCCCGGGACACATAAACAGAATGGCGACTGGATCTTCTAAATGTGGACGGCAAGTGCAGAGAAGTGCGAGTTTTATGTGTCTAACCGACGCAGTTTCCCGCGCCCGCTTGTCGAAGGTTAGATGGAGGGAGCGGGTTATGGCGCTGCCGCCGCGGGCCTCGCTCGGCGGCGGCGCTCGGTGCGGGCGGCGAGTTCTGTTATCAGCCGAACTTTGATGGAAAGATAAAGGCTGGAAGGTTTTGCTCTATGGAACTGCTTGCTGTATTCTATAAATGCTTGCTTTCTCTTCAGTGGATGTATTCTGGGAATTTTGTATTCATGTCCGGTACACTTTTTTTTATTGTGCAAATCAGCCTCATAGATCTTTATCAAGTGAAACCAGATAGCGTTCTTTAAGTCATGAAACATCAAAATACAACTCGTTAATAAAAAGAAAACAACTAAAATATTCAAATTCTGAGGATTATTTTAATAACGACAGAAGAAATTCATTCATCAGACTGCAACAGCATCTGAAGCCCAGCCCTCCTGACGCGGCTCCGGCATCGAGCCCTTGGTCGAGAGAAAGCCCCGGGCGAGACCTCCTCGCCATGACTGACGCTTCCCCTGTGTTTCCCTCCAGACTGTTCTCCGTGAAGTGCGCGGGTTGCGGGGACCGCCTCCTGCCGCACGAACTGGTCATGCGCGCTCAGTCCCTCGTCTTCCACCTCCACTGCTTCGCCTGCGTGGTCTGTTGCCAGGTCCTGCAGAAGGGGGACCAGTATGTCCTGCGGGGGCACCAGCTCTTCTGCAGGGCCGACTACGAGAAGGAGATGTTCCTGCTCCAGCAACACGGGCCGCAGAGTGAGTGGCTGAGTTAGTATTACCTTGTAGTTCTGTTCATAATGTTTTGAAGGGTGTTAATACCTCATCACAAACTCTAAGGAAATGAGATTCACATCGGTCTTTCAAGCAAGGCAAACTCAAACATTACATTTATCAAATACACATCCTAGGCCGGACCACACAAAACACAGTCATTATTGGTAATAAAATGCCATATTTTGATGTAAGATTTTCTTAAATTAAAGGTCATGGGATTTTGAGATGGCATTCCCTTATCAGCAAAAAACTCCCGCATAACAGTAACAAGATTAAACAAACAGCATACCCATTTGCAAGTCGCACAGGAAAACAGGCTGTTATTTATTATCATAGGCAATGGAGTATACAAAAAAGCAAGAAAAATATGTTGTAGCGGATCAAATTTTCCGCCTTTTTCTCACACGACTAAATGGTAGCGGTTTCCAGCTGCTGTGTTGTTTAGGAGATAAAGCTTATCTGCAGTTGTCTTACATAGTTGGCAACACAAACAAATTCTATCTCACTCCATTTCTTTTGATGGCAGCTAACTGTCCTCTTCCTGCCTGTGCATCTTCTCTAGCTGGGGTATTTTTCGTACTTACTTGTCAGAGAAAATAATAATAAAAACACTCTACTGTAACGCCACTGAGACGACACTGATAACTTAATTGGGTGTTTACAGTCAAGTCACTATTGGCAAATTTGATGTATAAGCAAACAAAAATATAAACAAAATTGAAAAGTGCAGTTATATTTATCTCTTCCACCACGATGCTTGTGTGGATGACTGGAAGGAAATTAGAGAAAAAGGGAGAGCAAGGGGTAAAAACAGACAAAATCACTAGCTTTACTGGGGAAGAATGAAATACAGAAAAAACAAAAGAGACAAAAAAAGGAGGGAATACATAACCGCTGTCATAACATCCAAAGGAATGAAATATGTGAAGCTAAAACTCCTGCTGGTAATGAATACATCGTCAGAGCCTTCAGTGTGTTTGCGTTGTCTCATGACAGGTCCTTTGGGAGACGATTTCATAGTGGACGACGGCTCTCGACCGCGCGATGGGAGGCGCGGACCCAAGCGGCCTCGGACCATCCTGACGTCGGCGCAGCGGAAGCAGTTCATGGCCTCCTTCAGCGTCTCCCCGAAGCCCTGCAGGAAGGTAAGATGGAAGGCCGTTTCTTGATTACTTGATTTCTTCGTCTCCACAAAATGTTTCGCTGGCGAAGGCTCTTTTAAGGTTCTCTGTCCGTCTGTCTGTCAGTTTGTCTCTCTCTCTCTCTGTCTCTGTCTGTCTCTCCTCCCCCCCCCTCTCTCTCTCTATCTATCTATCTTTCCCCCTCTCCTCTCTTTCTCCCCCCCCCCCCATCCTTGCGAAAGCATGTGGAACGGCTGTTACGGCAGCACAATGTACAACGAACAGATTACCTTTTTTTATGAAATAAAGGGGACTCTCCGGTCACCTGCTGGCCCTCTCCCCCCTCTCCCCTCCCCTCCCCCCCCACCACGCCTCATAAAACACCGAAACAAAAACTCCGGACCACTGAGCGCGCTATCACCGCCGTGTTTACATTCACGGCAGGAACCACAGAGCCTTTCTTGTATGGACCTCAATGATATTATAGGTGGCTGGATTTAGCATTAGATTCCCCCACAATGATACCGAGGCATATGTTATCCCTTCTTTATTCCCGCGTTGTTTCCCCACTCTTCGCTCTTCCTTTGGTTCTTCCCGCTTAAGTTTCTCGATTCATTTTATTTTCTCTTTTGTTTCCTCTCTCTCTCTCTCTTCTCTCTCTCTCTCTCTCTCCCTATCTCTCTCTCTCTCTCTCTCTCTCTCTCCTCTCTCTTCTCTCTCTCTCTCTCTCTCTCCCTTCTCTCTCTCTCTCTCTCTCTCTCTCTTCCCGTGTTTACGACCGCTCTCCCATCCCCTCGTTCTCCGAAGAGGGCCAGCGGGAGCGAACTAAATAAAGAGATCCTGGTTCTCGCTCTGATACCGCTTGTCAACCCCGCCGAGGTGGCCCTGAACCTCAAGAGGCAGCTCCACCTTGAGTATTTACCTCCGAGGCCGACACGCACCGCTGGAAGACAATCTGCTGGTTCTCGCCGCGGAACAAATGGCGGCTCTTGGGCGAGGGAGAGAGAGAGGGGAAGGGGAAGAGGGAAAGGTGGGAAGAAGGGGAGGGGAGGACGAGTACTGGAGGAGGTCATGGGTTATCGCGTGTTTTGACTGGCACTCTAGTTCCCTCACGCCCTCTCGCGACTTCCCTCCCTCATCCCTCATAACGCCTCATCATCTTAGCCAGATTTTTAGGCTTTTCGCCCTCCTGCTCTATTCGCTCGCTGTTTCCCCTCTGGCGGAGCGATACAAGGTCTTGACTCTCTGGGTCCTAACTTACACGATGGCTCCTTCACGCCCTCAGACGGTGTTCCCAACCGCGGTCTTAGCACAAACGCACACACGCCTTCTAAAGCTCACTCGCGTCGTTCCTCTCTCTCCTCTCTCTCTCTCTCTCTCCTCTCTCTCCTCCTCTCTCTCCTCTCTCTCTCTCTCTCTCCTCTCTCTCTTTCTCTCTCTCTCTCTCTTCTCTCTCTCTCTCTCTCTCTCTCTCTCTCTCTCTCTCTCTCTCTCTCTCTCTCTCTCTCTCTCTCTCTCTCTCTCTCTCTCTCTCTCTCTCGTCTCTCTCTCTCTCTTTCTCTGTCTGTTGTCTCTCTCTTCTGTCTCTGTCTCTGTCTTCTCTGTCTGTCTGTCTGTCTGTCTGTCTGTCTGTCTGTCTGTCTTCTGTCTATCTGTCTCTCTGTCTCTCTCTCTCTCTCTCCTCTCTCTCTCTCTCTCTCTCTCACACACACACACACACACACACACACACCACACACACACACACACACACACACACACACACACACACACACACACACACACACACAGCACACCTCATCTCCATCACAGCCTCTTAACCATTTACACGGCTTTCCCATACCTTCCTCCTCACCGCCTCCTCCTCCTCCCCATTAGTGGCCTTCCTCACACACGGCACTCCTCATTCCCTCTTCAGGAACCATACCCAGTTTATAACCTAAATACATCAACAAACCAAATTTTTTGTTCTAGTATTTTGGTATATGATTTAGAACATGTAACCCTAAATGAAGAATAAAAAAACAGTAGAAACAACAATAACAATAACGACAACAATACTACCACGTCCAACAACAATAACTATTGCAATATCACCCCCCACCAATAATTACAAAAATGAGACTATCACCACCAACAACAATAACAACAACTACAACAACAATACCACTACCACCAACAATAATAACACCACTACCACCACAACCCCCGCCAACACCTACAATAATGAGACCATCACCACCAAAACAATAACAGCAAGATCACCACCACCAACAATAACAACAAACAACAATACCACCACCAACAATAATAACACCACTACCACCACAAACCCCCACCAGCAAGTATCCACACTCACAACCACACCCTTCCCCAACCACACACAAACGCATACGTACTCCCCAAGAGCCATAATGCATTACCGATGTTGCACTCCATAAAAACTCTCCCGGGAGTTTCCCACCGAGAGAGTGTGTGGTGCGGGGTCAGAAGAGGTGGTATCGGGGGTTACCCTCTGCTACCAAGGGATTCCGATCTTTAAAAGCTTGTGTATCAAGAACATGGATGAGTTATTTGGGGTGTTTGTTCTTTGCGATGTTTGGTAGAGAGAGAGGAGAGAGGATAGAGGAAGAGAGGAGAGGAGAGGCGAGAGGAAGAGGAGAAGGGAGAGGGAGAGGAAGAGAGGAGAGGGAGAGGGAGAAGAGAGGGAGAGGAGAGAGGGAGAGGGTGAGAGGCGAGAGAGAGAGAGAGAAGAGAGAGAGAAGGGAAGGAGAAGGGGAGGGAGAAAGATAGAGGGGAACACAGAAAAACATGTATAGGTATATGTGTGTATATATAGGTGTGTGTGTGTATTTGTGTGTGGGGGAGATAAATAAATAGGGAAACGTATATGTGGTATCTAATATATATGCATACACACACACACACACACACCACACACACACACACACACACACCACACACACACACACACACACACACACACACACACACACGCACGCAACACACACAACTACACACACAAACACACACACACACACATGTGTGTATATATTATATTTAAATATATATATATATATATTCAATATATATATATATATATATATATATATATAAATATAATAATATGTATAATATATGTATAATTATGCATATATATGATGGTGTGATGTATATATACAATATATATTATATATATATAGGTATATATATATATATATATATATATATATATATATAAATAATATATATATATATATAATATATATGTATTATATATATATATACATTACAATACAGTACATACATACATATATATATATATATATTATATATATATATAGTATATGATATATAATATATATGTATGATGTATGTATGTATACATAAATATATGTATACACATATACATATGCATATGTCTATACACATATATACACACAAATGCGTGTGTTTATGTTTGCTTATGGTGTTTATTCTAGTGGCAGTAAAGAAGATAATAATGTGTGCCTTTGTTCAAGATGAAGGGCGCGAATCCAATGAATTGTATGTATATTAGGGTTCCTCTGTTTGTTTAGTAAAGCGATACGCCGAGGGTGGAAACACTTCTTAATGTTCATTTTATCACTGACTGAGAAAGCCGAAACTTAAGGAATTCGAGCGCCGAATGTCGTTGCTTTAAAGGCCCACGCATTATGTATTCCGTGCGTTTCCGCCATGAATATCCGGGCCTCTTTAATATACCATATATCACTCTCGGCCCAACGTATACGAAGGGCACACCGGAAAGCAATAGATTAGGTGTCCGTCACTCCGTCTAAACACAACACCTATCACTCTCAGCTTCCGTGTAACTCCGCGAAATGGCGCGCGTCTGTCCATCTGTCTAAACATAACAACAACCATTTCATCTTGGATGTTACTCCTGTCCAAACTGTCGTGCTCCCGTGACGGCAACACCGTGTGCACTGTTGACAGATTTATGGCCGCTGATTGGCTGACAGGGCGAGTGACATGCCGTGGTGCCAACTATGAGTATTTTAAAATTCCTATATCAGAGTAATGTAAAAGTAATGCTATTGTTTCCATTTCACTAGTGAAAAGATGGTACAATAACGCGAGTAATCTATGTAACCCATAAAGGCTAGACACGCTAATAAATACATGTTAATAACTCTTCACCTAGCAACAGTGAGGCGCTACTGACAGCTGACGAGCGGTGGATATTGGTTCAAGCTAGGTCGATCCAGGTCAATTTGGGACCTTTTGTGTGAAAATGTTGATAAAATGGAGGGTTTAGATGCGCAATTGTTTTCGCTTTTTGCTCTTTGCATTTTCCCAAATTCATATATTAATATAATCCAGTTTGTTGCCATTTCCATCTGGTCCGAAATAGCTTCGGTGCCTTCGAATGCGTTGCCTCCAGTGCACACGGACACACGCACACACACGCACATACACCACACAACACCACATATATAATATAAGTATATATACCACCACACACACACCAACCCACACACACTCAACACACACACACACACACGCACACACACACACACACACACACACACACCACACACACACACACACACACACACACCACACACACATATATATATATATATATATATATATATATATATATATATATATATATATATATATATATATATTCACACAAATAACACATGCATATAACTTATCGGCTTATTGTCTGCATAATGAAAAAACACCTTATATTTATTGATATATACTTGCCATTTTTTTACGATTATGCCTCCAGTTAGAAATAATAGGGATTATCCTTATCTCGACCAGCGTGATCTTGACGTTGCGGCTGACACCACCACAGAAGTCCCTTTTTGACACGTTCCTGGGTCCTCATGGCGCTACTTCCCGCTTCTGCCAACATCATTCCCCACCATTCGCGTCTGCCAACATGTCTCTCCTGTCCCTGCCAACCCGAGGACTTTCCCTGCGAGCTGATACGTCGAACATGTGTGCGTGTCTCCCCCTTCTTC